TATGTATTTGTATTAAAATATTTAGAGATCGGAATGTGCAAGAGTATGGACATGGCTTTAATAGATTAAATCTCAGTTTTCTCTTTTGTGCTCTGAACACCTTACCACCCCTATAACAGTTACCCCTAAGCGAGTAACAATTAGTTGTAAACGCAATTCCTTTTAAAACAAATACGCAATACATCAAATATAGGAAAAAAGAAAATTGTTGGTAACTTAAAGTGACTAAACTAATAATTTATAAACAAATATCAAAATGTTTACTAAACGTACCTAAGATGTTATATTTTGATTATTTAAATTATACAAAAAAGTTGTTTTATTGCAAGGTGATACGAAAAAAGTGAAAAAGAAATTATGAGAATGGCAACAGAACAAACTTAACGTAATAGTCTAAAATTCGGCTTGCAATTGATTTTAAAACTGTGGGTTGCATTGGAGGTAGCAGGTCGTTCCTTGTCGGCTAAATACGGCTGTGTTCAGTAGAAATCGTTTGCAACCAGCTGGATCGTGTGTATGGTGTATGTTTAAAATATTTAAATTTTATATCAGCCCCGCTGTTTTCGTTGGTCTATTGCAGGCCGGATTTTTGGTGTCATTCCATAGTTACAATTGGAACCAGAATATGATTATCTGTAAAACTAAGTTATAGTTTATGTGTCGGTCAGTGACTGAAATTATATGAAAAAGAACAGTGTCCTAAGGGAAAGCTGCAGTTTGTTACCTAAACAAATTATTATTTATTTATTATTTATTTGCCTTATACAACCAAAAATGTGGGTTTTCCAAATTTACTAGATAATTAGTCTGCTTGGTTACCGCTGGTTAGCTAAGAAATCACGAAAATCATAAAAAAAAACCTTTTTAAAAAGAATTTATGTTAATGATTTGTTTTTTAAATAAATATAATAGTGGTCCAATTGACTCAAGGTTCACCTATATTCAAAAGATTAGCTACATATTGGAAAAACAGGGTCAGTTATTTTAAAACTTTATTTCGCTTCGTAATTACAACAAAGAACAACTAAAAATTTAAAAAAAAATGGGAGTCCACTCTTCAGTAAGCAAATGGAAAATATGTTCTTGCTGGCACGTAAATGAATAATTTTAATCGCCTTACTCGGAAATACCTTTAACCTTCTAAGCGCACAATCGATTCACATTAAAAAGGGTTGCGGTCTGCTGCTAAGCTTTAGAAATAAAAGCGCCCCGGATTTTTATCTTAATCTTTATTATGAAAAATTCACTCGGATGCTTTTTTTTTTCGTTATAGCGGCTGGTTAACGGATTGACCTTTTCCATCCGATAACCATTCTTTTAGCTGGAATAATATCTTCGTTACGTCACTTTCCATTTGAACGCTTTGTTTCTTAATCAAGTTAACTTTTTAAAAGCATTCTTAAGAATTTCTCTAATGGATTAATTGTCATTTGTGACTGCAATTGTCACTTGTACTGTATGTAATATATTTTAATTGAATCAAGGAATAATTGTAAAAGTGACCATTGAAAAATCGTAACAATTGCGTAACCGGGATAACCATAAGTCGCTTCAAATCAAAAACCTTTTAATATTTTATTAAATAAAAATAACAAAGCTTTGATAATTCTGAATTCGACATTTTTATAACTAAAGAGTGCTACGTTGCTAAGTTCTAGTCATTTTTTAAAGTAATTTTAAGTTATTCATAGTTTTTGCATTTTCTTGTAAAAGGCGGGTAAGAATCCGTAAATCTAATGTCAACATTTCAATTTTTGAAACATTTGAATGCTAGACGATCAAGATTATTTAAACCTATGTTAGTTCTGCTCTGGGTAAGATAAATCTGTGTGTGCGCTTGTGGTGTGATTTTGAATTTCGGTCACATTTTTTGGGATTCTGTAAAAGAAATGAAGTCATTGGCACAGGATTTCCTGGATCCCAACCTACCGCTAGCAGACGCACACTGGGACAAGGCAGCCTGATACGGGGAATTAAAAATCAATTTTTTTAATGTTTATATTTTATTTTAATAAAATATGAACATTATAAAAATTCAAAATACAGAAAAGTAATAATAAATTATAATTATCAACACAAAGACAAAGACAAATTAAAAATTGAAGTCAGCTAAGCTTGAAACTTCTTGCGGGAATACTTATAATTTTTTTGTTGATAGTTTTCTAAAACCCGTCATGTAAGGATCAGAACTTATTAGCATAAGATTAAAAATATTCTTGTCCATGGATAAGCAATTTATGCAGTGTGGGAGGCATATAGAAACATGGAAATTTTTCAACAGACAATCTCGCAGTTTCAAGAGCAAATAATCTAATTTTTTCTACAATGATATCAAAATCACTTGATATTCAAATGAAAATAATATGCATTCGGTATATTAAATTTTTTTCAAACCCCAGTTATCTCAGACGATACATCTGCATTCTCAAAAACCTTCCTGCCCATATTTCCGTCGTTGGAATTTCCAAATCCAAGTTTTCGATGATCAACAATTAGCACGATGCGATTTTTAAATTCCCTTTGTATTCTTTTTTGTTTTCAGCCGCAATAATTTTATGTTCATTTCGTGCCTGCCGTTTTTTTACTGGAAGCTTGCAACCAGTATGCAGGAGGGATTCAAATGTTCTAATCCAGCAATGCAAGATCGAAAGTCCAAACTGAAAATTTGAAAAATTACATGGTCTAGTTAGCAAATGAAACAACGTTGAGTGCATAAGTTATCGGCTCTTGCGTTGCATACTTTCAAGTTAACCATAGTAAAATGAAGAGTATGAGATACTGTCAAAAACTTGGTTTTTAATTTCAATAATAGAACTTCTTAATTCTTTAATTTGTGTGTTAATTATATGTTTTCCCTTACCGAAAGTTAGGTTGATTCCTTTGCAAAAATTATTTTAATTGGCCTGCAATACCTAGGAGAGGATGGGCGCGGATTTTGCCATATAACAACCTTTTTCTCAAAATTTTTACAATACAGTTGAAGTGGAACTATTGAAGATATAAAAACGCTAGAATTGTCTTCTTCCATTCCAACGAACCGTTGCTTATAGGATGAAGGCCCGGAAACTAAAGTTAATTCATGTAGAACTTCTTCCCAAAAATAACCTCCTCTTGCAGTTTTGCAGAAATAGGCTTTATAACTATATCTTCTTTGTTCGGGTAACACAATTTTTTGGAAGCTTGAATGATTTTGTAAGATGGGAATCTTTCTGAATCTATTTTTCTTATTACGTTGTACTGATGTCGAGTCACTTTAGCATCTACCATTGTCGATGGTGCTTCTTCTCCAGAAATTTGTTTATTAGCATGGTGTTTTATAAATTGAGTGTGTGCTTTTTGGTATTCTGATGCACAGTTAGGTGACTGTACCATATTTTTACCAACTTAGAAGCAGCGTGGAATCCAGAAACCTCTAAGCCCATTTTGGTGGCATACCCTAAAAAACCGACCAACTATTTCTAAGTTGCTCTGTTTTTTGGCGGTTACTTCGTTCACAGCTTTGCTCAAATGATAACTCAGGTCTCCCACGCTCTCTTTTCGACATGCTTTAATCCGTTTTTCTTTTAATCCAGAAGTAAAATGAGTAATTTTTTTGAATGAGAGAACGTACTTCAGAATCAGGACAATTTAAAAAAAATTTCAAGTGATTTTTCAAAAATGCACATTGTTCTTCAAAATTTTTAAATCCGAAAGACTTCATTTTATTCCACAATTCAATTTTTGTAATACAAAAAACATTTGCATTTGAACTAAAAAATATAAAATAATAATAATTAAAATTCAGCATTTTACAAATTTAAGTAATAATTTTCGTTGAAGTTTCGTTTCTGAGAAAAAAATAAGGCGCATATTTAAAAATCTTTTGGCGATAAGGTGTAATAGTAAAGTTTCTGTCTACATGTTTAATAAAATATGTACATTTTTAGTGAATTTTAAAAAATAAATTTAGGTTATATTAAATAATTCTATGCCTTTAAATTTAATACACTTGCTATCTAATGGCGGTTTAAAATGCACCTTTGCGGCAGCATATTGCTGCAATAACAGAATTAATCACAAAGAGTCGGTGAAATTTGTAGGTTAGTATGTGTTTTTCCAAAATATATAATAGTTAGACGTTCTTGGTCAACTTGACTTTTTTATTTAATTCCAAACTTGAGGTTCCTTTGACCTAATGTGAGACGTGACGCTTAAAAACCGCCTAGCTGCGAAAAAAGTATGTTCGCTGAAGAACCCAAACTGTCTCTTTTACTTTTGGCCCTAAATTATAAGTACCGCGACTATCAGTTTCGGAGCAGACAATACACGAATCGAAGAACGCTACAATAGCGATCTGGCTTTTAGACCTCGACGAATTTCAGTCAGTTGGATAAGTGCTTATGGGCTTGGTGTTTGCTGAAGATTGGAGAAAAGTTTTAATAACGACCATTAAATACCTGTTCTGGATGACGTAATGATCTCTTATGTTGGATAAATGTATTCTTGCAACTCATTCGTCTCATATGTTTACTTTTCGTCTATCGGCGTCGATAAGAAAAGTTTGATTTACGACTTGTATCCATATTCAGTGAATACATGCTTACCCTACAATTAGACTTAACTATTTAAGAGATGGACTAATATTATTTACTATTTTGCTATTTAGTTCAAACATTATAAACTTCAACAATATTTACTTTTAATTTGTTGCAAGGCAGCCACTTGAGATATCTGTCACCATCTTTATTAATTAAGTTTTTCAAATTTCTTCGCATTTTCTTTTTTATTTTTTTTTTGTAGTTTGAGTAAATGTCCGTTTGCAATACATTAGTTGCATTTTTAACCCATTTCTGTTTTCTCGCACCTCTATATTCATTCCACGACGCAACATAACAAATTTCCACCCGCGACAAAATCAATATTCCAATTCGCGGAATCTCGACTTCAAATATTGCATGGAAACACAAGAAAACACATTTGGAATACGGAATTAGAAGAAAAAAACATCAAATTTCACTTACGAGACCAATTTTTCATCCTTATAGGCGGCGGGTTTGTGATGTCGCACGTATTTTTCTTCGACAGGAACGCCATTGACGTACCAGGTGAGGTTTGCGGCGGGATCCGACCCTTCCGACGTACAGTTCGCTTTTAGGGCGTCCTCTAGTTTATATCTCGTCTTTAAACCCGTTATGTATGGGTCTTTCTTCGGTAATTCAACCACCTAATCAAAAAAGTATGACATCACTACATTTTATTTTTCGAAGATACAGTGTATCAAGTGTCAATATTCTTAAGGAATTTTTGAAATTGAAAAAGAAGGGCAAATCTACAAATCCACCCTAAAAACTAATATTCCCGATCAGAATTCAACGTTTTGTCAGTCGAAATTCTTCTTCTGTAATAAGTATATACAGGGACGCTTACGGTTAAACTAATGAATATACAGGGTGTTACTTAATTAGTATCTATATTTTAATAGGTTATTTAACAATAATTTATAATGTAAAAAGTTACTAAAAATGTGTGGTCAAAATGTTTCGTTTTCGAGATACGGGTTGTCAAGTTTTTTATTTTTACCTTTTTTTTGTGCATAATTTTCTAACTAATGTCTGCCTTTATCCTCCAAACCTCTAAATCGTTTTTAATTTTGAGGTGTAGTATAAAGAGTTAGTCTATATAATTTTTGATTAAAAATTCCATGCCTTTGAGGTAAAAGCAGTTAAAAGTAAACATCGTGCTTAATACATTTTAGCACTATTTGAGTAAAGATGTTTTCAGGTAGATTCTAAATTATTTTTGTGAACCCATTACAGCATTGTAATTATTGTCTCTAATTTCCATATATTTCAATTAATTAATAGTTAATTTAGATGGGTTGTAATTGCTACGCTTCACAAGGACTTGTAAATTAAAGGGTCCGGGCAGCAACATTTTGTATAAGTTATAACTAGCAAAAGCAGACATTTCTCTCAAAAATTATTAGTATAATTATATTGTTACCATGAAATCAACTAACAGAATGAATATTATAATATACGGAGTGGACCAATCAAAATAGATGGAAAGTTTAGGCTACAATGGGTTGATATCAAAATAGGTTACATCTTAAAAATACATTGATATTGAAAATTAAATTAAGATTTCTTCTCATATTTGGTGTATGCGCGTAAACAAAAAAACGATAATCACTTAAAAGTTACTAAAATCGCTAACAAATCCAGTTTAATTCTAATGCTAAGAGTCGAGAAAAATTGCCGGTAGACTGAAGTGCAAAAGCATGGTCCAAATTACTCAGAATTAAAAAAAAATAAAACGGGGAATTAGCGGATTTTTACTGTGAAGTTTAACAATCGTTCAAACCCAATTTGCGGTAAATAACGAAATTTTCGCCAACCTTGCGTCTTGCATCAGCGGAGCGCCTTGGTGTCGACCCGATTGAATCGGAATCGTTCTTTTTAATCTATAAGTAATACCCGAGGCGATTCCGGTCACATCTATCTTGCTGTCTGTCAATTTCGGCGACACTCGAGTCTTAATCTCCCCCGACAAATAAATACGTAACGCCGGTCGAGAGTTCCTTCTTGTTTTTAATATCCGGTGCGATACATTTTAATTTCAGTCTTATCCTAAAGCGATGTCTTAAAATTCCATCACTTTTTAAGTTTTTCATATAAAAATCCTTGGAATTGAGTTGATGGAGGTCAATACATTTTATACAAAATACTCGAAACGGGTACGGTGTCTTAACATAGCACTTATTTAGAAAGTTTAATTACTTAATCAAAGTAAAAAAAATGTCATGTGCTTCAAATTTTAAATTTGATAATTTAAAAAATAATAAAAAATAGCGGTAATAGGCGAATTTTATTGTATTATTAAAACTCTCATTATAAGATGAAGAATTTGCTTTTGAATCGAATTTGTCAAAAGAAATTCCAAGAATTGTTATCAATTTTTTAAATTAAATAAGATCTACCGACTTGGCTCCTTTAGTGACTGCTCCTTCAGGTTAATGATTAACTTTGAATAGTTTAATAGTTTGATAGTCCAGTTATCCTTTTCTGTTCCTTTTTTTATTTTTATAAAATTTCTTTTTGTTGTCGACTGCAGGCAAAGCAAACAATTAATTACCGCAATTAAAGTAAATGTTTCCAAAAATCGCAGAACATTTCTCAAATGAGATGTGTTTCCATAAGTAAACAACTTATACGGCCCACGCTGTACAATGCTCTGATAAGTGCTTTATACATTATATATATTTATAGAAAAGAGTTTTGTTGTTCTGGTCAAGAATACCTGGGAACAATAATTATTGCTGATAGAACTGACAAGTTCCTTTGGGAAGAAATTTTACGGTACCCTATAGAATATAATAAAATTGAATTTTATTTGACTACGTGTGAATAATATAAATTTATAATTGTGGCAGGTCTAGTAGTAAAACAATACATATACACGATATTAAAGACCACAATTAAATTAACAAATATAAGAGACTGGAAACTGGAAAAGTGTGGAAACATTGGTTCAGAAAATTAAAGGTTTTCTGGAAGTTTTGAAGATTCGGCCTCTTAACTTAGTCCACGAGACAATTAAAAATCTTAAAATCTCAACAATTTTTTTACAATTAGATAATCAAATTTTAGAATTACAATAATTCCTCAAGTTAGCGTGTAGACATATAGAGAGCTTGCGGATGTTAATAATAGAGTTTTAATAAACTTTGGAAATCATGTAAGGTGCACCTCCACAAGGCACATGCGCATGCGCTAGTCAAAACTCCCTTTCGACCAATAAGATATTGCAGGGCTCAACATGGCCGCTGACAGTTCGGAAATTTCAAAGTGTTCGGTGTTGATGTGACAGTATTGTGTCAAAAAATTCCCAGAACACATTCAATTTTTACCGAAAAATTGCAGGTGTAGTGTGTAAAATTTAGCTGAAGATTTCTGAATCCCAAGTTGAGTTAAGTTTTTTTTTATTGACTACGTTTTACTCATTGAGGAAATGTCAGCCTTTGATCGGGAAATACATCTCCTGTTTGTGGATTAAAGGAAAGTATACGATAACATACCATTATCAAAACTATGGCAGACACTAGATCGAACAAATCTAAACGTCAACCTAATAAAATCTCTGAGAGAACTTTAATAAAATGTCCAACGGATTCGTACCGAATACGGGACTTAAACAAGGATGTCACCCACTTGTTTAAAATATATCTCGAACAGGCACTAAAAATATAGAACAAAAAATGTGAATATATGGGCATCCCACTGAACAACGCAAACCTGTATACACAACACAAGACTACGACAATATAGAATTCATAACTCGAAAGCTAATTGAATAGTACAAGTAATGGGGCCTAGAATTGAACATCTCAAAGACGAATTACATGTACATCGCCTGAATACAACAAGACCTTGCCCTTGAAGACGAACGGGTTATCAAATCTTGCCAAAGCTACAAATACCTGTGCATGAATATATCAGACAGTGGAACCCTAGACTGCGCAATTGAAGACCGGAATGTTCAAGGCAGAAAAGCTACTGCTCCGCTAACTAGCATTCAGTGGGACCAAAAAATCACAATACGAAACATGCATTTAATATATAATTCCATTATAAAAAGCATAGTCACATATAGTTGTGAAGTTTGGAAACTCAAAGAAAAGACCATGAGAACACTGGAGGCAACAGAGATAGATTTTTCAAGGAGAGTGGCAGATCGAGACTCGAAAGAACCCCAAACGAAACAATTTGTGCAATCATGAGCCACACAATAACGGACGAAATAAGAACAAAACAGCTAAGGTGGTTTGGACATGTCGAAAGGATGGAGGAGCGTCGACTCCCTAAACAAATAGTTACTTCGATGCCAGCGTGAAGAAGGAAGAGAGAAAGACAAAGCAGGAGTTTGAGATGATGACGGTGGACTTTAAAGTATTAGACTAAACCAAATATCAAACTATGAAGGGATCTGTGTTGGTTTTTACTTAACCAATAGAGTAGAAATAGTGAAGTAGTAGGTAATCTTGAACTTTTTTTCTAAAAAATATATCCTCTGAGGACATATGTTGACACTCAGAAGATGATGCAAGTCAAAATTATAACTATTCTCGACACATTGAATCTATGACACGGTTTTAATAAATTATAGCCAGATCTGCAATGATGATTATGATACATGCACATTTTTATGGATATGAAGCAGCTGTTGATACAAACAAACACTTGGCAATGACATAATGCATAGTCTTATAAATCATGGGTGACAATGATCACGATAGCCAATTCTAGCAATAGTTCTTATTGCTTGTTTTTGCAATTTAAAAATAACACACACATGGAAATGTTGTGGTGGGCAATTTCTCTAAAATATTTAAACGCAGATCTGGATCTAAAAAAACAGGTAGAAATCTGTTCCATTGGTCATGGTTGTTAGGAACCTAGTTAGAACCTATAAATTTGTTTTTCTACTCCCGTCTGTAAATACCTAATTGCGGATTCGAGCCACTTCGGACATTTCCGGTATTTTACTGCACAGATTTGAGAGCAATCGGATGTTTTCTGAGATATTTCCCACGCTTTGAATTTTGACGTTTGTTTATTCTGACGGTCATGTCGGTCAATATATTTGTGTTGTTTCGCGAAATTGTACCCAAAAACTTACGGTCGTAGAAAAAGTATAGTATGCAACTCGCTCGGTAAACTTTTTAACTCATTCGTTTATTAAAAATTCACTCCGCTGCGCTCCGCTCGTGTCAAATAAACTCGTAATTCAAATGCCGTTTACCGCACTTGATGCATAATATAATATTTTATTTGTCTTTTCTGTTTGTCAACGATATTTGTATTACTAGAGAAAATTGGCAAAAATAATGGAGGGCATCAACTCCCGTACTTGCATGATTTTGTCCATGCTATGAAGGATATTGAGATTGGAAGATCTGTGCGTATTCAAGTGGATCCGTTTTATCTTCCTTGTTCAACAACTTGTGGGTGTAGAAATTAATTTTTGAGGTTTTTCTGTTTTCTTCTATTCATTTTATTAGAGCTGACAGTAAATAACCTGGTATAGTGGTACTAGTTACTGGAGAACTATTCTCCATTTTGAATTCTGTTATTGTTCCCCATGAAGGTTTTTTATTTTTGTAGCCGAGATATTTAAAACTTTACTAAAAATGTGGAAAACTACTGTTAAAAAATTTCAATTTAATTCAAATCGAAATTCCGCAAATAACACAAACTATAACAATATAACATTAGCAGTGGAAGAAATAAATAAGCAAAAACAAGACTACTGAGTTTGAAAGGTTAAAAGCAAACACGTCTTTTTTGGTTAGTTGAGTATCAAAAGTATAATATATTGTGAAGGATTGAGATGAAATTACCGACGTTCATTGGTAAAAATGGTGCTGACAAATGTGGCGACATAGAATCTTTTCCTCGTGTGTATCATAGCCCTTCATTATCTAATTGCTTCCAACTATACCCCTTATAAACTGAAGACGTACTAAAAATCACCAACAAATTTATGTCACACGTAAGTTTTGGTAACACGTTACTAAACGAGGAAAAGCCTTTAGGTACAACTTAACGAATACTTGAATGGTACGATGCCCTAATTCTAATTGGTATATTGTACTATTAGTATTATATTATATTATTATTATATTAAATAGTAAATTATACCTTTAGCTCTGCAGTTTGCACCGCTGTGTGAAAATTCCGGTCGGCAGTGATCTCGCACGTGAACAAACCGCCAATGTCTTTGCTTACTTTTTCCAACACCACTTGAGTGTCACGCGAGTCCCTTTCTCGAATGTTTAGTCCGCGTATTCGGAACTGTTTTATCGGCGGAAATTCACTGGGTGAGTATCTAAAAAACTCGGCGATCCCGCGGTACCACTTTACCGAATAGAGTTTTTCACCCTCGAGATCAAAAAGACACTGAAGCACCGCGTCATGACCACGTACCACCGCCGTCGGTACCTTGATACGGACGTTCCGCAGTCCCATGCAATCTGAAACAAATATAACGCAGTCAGATGGAGATTTTATAAAGATAAAGATAGCTTTATTTCTATAAGACTTGAGTTGCAATATTAATAATATAAAATTATGTTAGTATAATTACTTAACATAAATAATAATTAATAGTATTAGATAAGTAATAAATATATTGACAATAACAAACAACGAATACTTATTAAAAGGTATCTCAAGAAAGAAAATCTTTAATATTGTAATAGCCTTTTGTTTTTAAGAGTGCATTTGAATTTTGTTTGGCTAGCTATAGTTCGATAGGCAATTTATTATAGATTTTTATTGTCCAAGCAATTTGATGTAAGAGATAGTCGGTGTTTAGATATTGTATTTCTTGAGTGCAGAGGATCGAAAAAATCATTTCTCGAAAACCGAAAAAATTCTTTTTCGAGAAGACGCACAAGATTTGGCTCCTAAAAATTTTATTCTTGACAATTTTTCACTAATGTACAGGGTGGGCCGCATTTTCAAAAAAACTGAAATATGGGTACCCCTAATAGTGAAAATTGGCAATAAATAAAATACAGTGTTTCAGGTATTAGTTTCTGTAACATGACGATATAGCCCGTATAGACAGCTAAAACTTTTGTGTTTAAGGTTTTCACCTATTGTAAAGGGTGTTCCCGATATTCCGTACTATATAAGAAATTTATCAAGTTTCCTAAATTTGCAGATATCGACTTCAAATTTAGCAGAGAAATAAAAGTTCATGTCCATATTTAAATAGTGGAAATTGGGTGCAATCAAATTTCACCAAGTTTTTTTTTTTAATTTGAATTTTTTTTGGTTATTTTGCCTTCCAGATAAAGCTTTTTTCCAAAAACATTCACCGGTTTGCCAAAATCCTTTAACCTGCGGACGCGGAAGTGGTATCACATTTATTTCAGGCATATTATAGATAAAAATCTAAGACCCAAAACATTGTTCTTTTAAAGAGTAAATTATTAACGGCTATCAAAAATCCTAAAAAAATATGGCCAATCGGTTCAAACAGGCCGCATCAAGAACTACATTTTTTTTATTTACGGTTTTCATCTATCACACATGCCGCTGTAGATATTTAAAATATATATGTAGGGTGTAAGCACAATATAATTACACCGATTTTGCGAAAGTTCCAAAGTGGTCCGCAGGAGCACGATAGAAAAACAATGCATTCCCTTAGCACAAGAAACCGCGAGCGGCTTCTTTTTGAAACAGAAGGCTGCTTCACGCTACGCGCTACGAACTTGCCCCACCCAGAAACCATTTTTCGAAAGCAAACTTGTTTTTTTTACATAAATAAATAATTTAAAAAGTAAAGCCGACAATTAAAATTTTTGGGAATTTTTGGAATATATTTTTTCGAACAAATTTAACAATGTGATATATCAGCTCAGTTATCTTGACAAACTACTTTGAAATTTTTAGTCTTATAATCATTTATTTGAACCTTTGAACTTCAACTATGAACAATACGATATAATGGTGGGCCTTATAGAGTGCCTTCGAGCTCTTTATTTTAACATGTAATGATATTGTCTTTTAATAATCTCTACAGTTTTTTAAAGCCTAACTTTTACAACAGACATCCAGAACAAAAGTCGGGCAAATAGTTTATAGACTGAAAGTTAATTTAATAGATTTTTATAAATAATTTATTATAATTTACAATAAAGAAAATACGGAATAAAAAAATGCAGGAAAGGAAGTAGGTATAACTTAGTCGAGGAGTTCGAACGATATTAAAGACACATGAATATATCCGTTGTGTCAAAATATTCTGAAGATGCGGAACAACGTATCTATCTTGACAATAATTTAAAAAAAAAATTGGGTTCCATAAGTTCTAATCAACAAACCAAGCAAAACAACATTCAATATTGCGGAAAAAGTTAAATAAGAAACTGTCTTCTCTTCATACAATATCGATTTTCGATATCAATTAAAACGATTTTTTAATACATTTTCAAATGATACGAACCAAATTATTAATTTCGAATGTTTTTGAGAATATTAGGGAGATGAAAAATAAGCTCCAGTTTCACATTTCCTAAATTTGAAAAAATTATTAGTGGCGATAATTGCTTTATTTAATTTTATTATAAACTAATAAATATATAAAAAATAAAACACTATACCCGAATTCAATTGGGATTACAATATTTTTCAGGTCATATTAAAATCAGCCTTTATACTTTACACGAACATGTTGAACGACAGAGCAATTTGCTCCAGATGCGAATACTTTATAGTTTACCAAATGTACATACATGGCTCTGCCAATTACGCAACTGAGCTCTAATTAGCTAAATTGGTTGGTCGGTTTATGTACGTGCGTAAACGAGACGTTAAGTGCCAACGCGAAGATTGTTTCAACCTAAAATTGAATATTAATTGGAACTAAAAGCAAATCAAGATTTACCAAATGCCATCTCGATGGGAAAACAATGGCTTTTTAAGGTAAAGCGTTGACAAGCTTCTTTAGTAAATATTAGAGATATAATAATAATTTTTATTATTCTTGCTGTAATAGCATTAATCAAGTAAATAATTACAACTCTAAAATAAATGCAATGTGAGGATACGGATAAAGCCCTAATTTAAACAAATATATGCATACAAACTCAACATAATGCGTACGTATAGAAAGAGCAAAAACTAATTGTCTTCGACAAATCAACGGGAATAGGAACATTTATCCAGAGTTGACAAGGGTTTGACAAGTAGAATAGAATATTCCATTCCTAAAATATAGTTCGTGTTTTATAATTCTGGTCTTAAATGTCAAATATGATAGCAAAAAATGGGTCGATATTTAATGCTACATTCTAAGAAAATTATTTGATGAAACTCTCTTTATGATGTGAGGTACGACTCTTCCGACGTAAATTTAAATTAATTTTATTAGGCCTGAAACAAAAATATGCTATACAGGTAAGACAGTGCTTTATATTTTATAATTTTATGGAAAAAAACTGCGACATGAAGCTTAAACCTTTAAAATATATTAACATTTTCCAGGAGAGGCATCTGCACACTCAAGCAATGATTAAATTGCGAAAACCCACAACTATCACCATAACCTTTTTTTGATACCCTTTGACAACTAGTGTCGTTGGCCAACCAGATTCTTGCGGGTGTCAACGAACGGAAATATTTAACATCATTAGAGAAACCTTTCTTGATTTTTTAAAATTATTTTAGCAGTCATAAAGTAATGCCATTTTTTGAAGGAACAGTAAAACTGGTAATAAGTCAGGTAATTTTATTTATATTTTGCAATATAATAAAAATTGTAAGCATCGATGAAGGCATTTACTGGTTTATGTAAACTTAGACTGCATAGCTCAAAACAATTTTTTCCAAAGATTGCCACTTAAAGCGATTTAAATATACAGTTTTGGTCAGTTAGAATGTTATCAACTTCCCACAATCTTTCTTCTATTTCAGTCATATGTTCATAATCCACTATTTTTATCCCTTCTGCCTTGCTACGAACCTTTTTACTTGCCCCAATACCAATTCTATGAGGTTTAATTCACAGTGATATGGCGGAAGGTGAAGTACAGTTATATTTCGTTTTAAAGCGATTTCGCCGACAACAAATTTATTAAAAATTTACAAACTCCAGTAGCTCCTTTTCAGCATATCTCATAATGTAAATATTTTTTCGGCTTTTCTTGACACCTCCCAGTCCATCCGTGCTACTAAATCACAGCCGACAAATCGATTTTTGCTAATAATGTGAGTGATCTTTTACCTTTTCCCGGGAGTGCTTTAATTCTAGTACCACGTTTTACCAAGGCCTAGCTGCCGCCGTCTCCAATTTCAAACTTTTCCTCTCGTGACATGAATTTTCTTCCAACTTTCTTAAAGTCATGGCTTCTTCTATGTCATCCCTCCAGCTTCTCCGTGGCCGTCTTCTCTTCCTTCTTTCTGGTGGTACCCACTCTAATACTTTCGTGGGTCATCCATCATCTGTCATTCTTCTTAACATTTCCAAACCAAGTGAATTGTGTTCGTTCTATTTCTTCTGTTGATTCTGCTATTGGTCCGTGCATATTCATCTTGACCATCTACAGCTTCCCCTTCGAAAATCCATCTCCGTTGCCATTAACTCCTTGTTGTTTAAGTTAGATCCGTCCCAAACTCCTGATCCATATAAAGTAATACTTTGAATCACGCTTTCATAGATACGCTTTTTTGTCTTCTTTGTTAAATAGATAGACTACTTAAATAGTTTAGTCCAAGTTCATCTTTTTTTTATTCTTTCGTTATTTCCGGTTTACTGTTCCAATGTTTGTTAAGAATCACTATAGATATTTGCTCTTCTCCACTCATCTAATTGTTTCATTTTCTAGATTTATGTTGCCAATTTCTTCTTAAGGTATTCACACTTCATGGCTAAACCTGCTGATTCGTACTTCTCTTTAAGTTTGCTAATCATATACGAGAGTAGTATAGTAGTGCCGGTTATAAGCAACTTTTGGCGGGAAAATTTGAATTTTTGTGAATGTTCGGGTGTTTTGTGGAGTGATAATAAATACCGGTGTGTAATCTCTTTAGTTTAAATCGAAGTTGACCTGTTAAACACAATAACACGTAACTTATTGACCATTTATATCAAATAATAGGGTGCTTAGGTCACGCTTACACCTTCATATTCGAAAATGTCAACGTCGATTTGCATTTCATCTCATCTCCTCCTTTCAATTTGTCGGTATTGCTTCGACAAATCGATTGGAAGCCATCTGAAGACTTTCTTCTAAATTGATGGAGAACAAGACTACTGAACATCATCAGTTTATTCACACATAAAATTAAATAAATTGTTTTTAATATCTTCCTCGTCTTCTGCCAAGACGACTCGGTCGTCCGCATAAGCATAAGTGAATAAGTTACCGTGCGCTACACTCAGTCCCATATTCCTAGAGATTTTTGTCCACCTTACTAAAGATCTGTCCGAGAATATTTTGAAGAGGCAAGGAGACATGCA